GAAAAGAGGTAGGGATTAGAAGAGAAGCAAGCTTTTAGCAACCACTTCTTGATGCGAAAGCGCAACTGTGAACCACAACATCGCTGTAATCTCTTCAATGCAGCCTAGGGATTTTAATGATGAAAACCTCATGCATTTTTGTTTTTTTACAGGTGAACCTACTCAGTTTGGAACCATCTGTTAACCTTTTGGAGACTCATACGAAGTTTAAGAGTGCAAATAAGCGATAATATACGAGCAAAAGACAGCCAAAGACAGTGAAACAAGAGACTTCAAAGCGACTGTGGGCAAACGTAGCCAATTACGCTCAATCTGGGTGTAAAATTAGAGCGTAGAGGCATAGCAACTGCGATAAACTCTACTTTAGGTATTTGGCCCAGACTATGCTATTATTAAAGGCTCTTCTGGTCTGAATGGAGTGTGATAGGTAGGTAGTTCTATTATCAGTAACCCACACATAGGTCTGTAAATAAGTAAGGGGAATTACATATGGACTGACATGCACTGACCAAAGGCTTTTGTGAATCAATTGTTGCACATTTTTGTGGAATAAGTCGAAAGCCTGCTCCGGATACACCAATAAAATATTAATCCGGAGACTAACAGTTGGGAGTATCGGACTTTTTGAAAAAAAATAAGTTCAAGTGGAGCGCAGCTCCCGAACAGTGTTTGAATTAGGGTTTTGATATATCGCAGGCACGCATAACAGAATCTGAATCCTGAAGGTGATGTTTAGTAGATGAGACAGTTAACAAATGATACCCTCCTGCTACAGGACCAGGATGAAAAGTTGAAAAAAACACTTGGTCATGAAAACTGACAGATAGTAGAGACAACCTTCGCTGTTATGGTCCACCTGTCGGGTTTTTAATTGATGGGGAGGTCAAGTAGAACTGCTTACCTGGACAACAATGAGGAAATATGAAGAATATTGAGAATTCAGATGCCTGAGCTTTTTGAAAAATATCTGGCTTCACAAGTAACGGTAGCTATCAGACAAGTTTATAACCATAAAATAATGTTTAGCCGTAGTCGTCAAACCGTATACTAATTAAAGGAGTAACAAAAGTATGGAGGCATTTAGTAAAAGACTCATGGTGATAGCTTCAAGTATGCTGGGCCGTCGACCTCACTCTCTCCCCCGCCCCGGCATCAGGTCACCGTCCGAGGAGGTCAACTATCTAATGCAGGGTGGACGCGGTGGTTGACAGGTCCGATGAACCCGTCTGCGCGCGCCACAGCACGACCTGGCCCCCTCGACCCACACAGCAGGATTACCAAAATCAGGGGGAGGGGAGCCGTCACCGCCTGACTCCCAATCCACTGGACAGCCAATAAACATAACACACAACAGTACGACCGTAGATTTCGACTAGGTCTACCAGGTGCTCCATATCGTGGGGGTACAGAGGCGACGATTTGGCTGTGGATGAGTTTTAAGTGGTAGTAAAGTTGTGCTGCATC